ACATTTATATTGATATGAGATCAGGAATTAACCCTTTTTTGGTTGAAGTATATTTCAGTTAATGATGACAAAGAAGAGAATTGTATTCTGCTATATTTTTACTATACTGCAGTACCTATAATATTCTAATGTACCAACAGGTGGACCTTTCCCATGTTTAAATGGAGCATTACAGGGTATGATTATGACCTTACTTGTTGAAACAATGATCTTCTCTGATCATCCTGGAAACAAAGGGGAAGAGAAAAACCACTTACAACAAAAAAGCAAAAGAAACATATTTCTTTACTGAGAATCCTTAATCATTCTCTAGTGTTCCAACTTAAGCAAAAAGCAAAAGAAATAATAATATAAATAAAATAACATTTAAAGAGCAAACAAACAGAAGTTCCTCCCATGCAGCCATACTGTTTCTCTGGTGGTGTTCAAAAGGTAAAGCCATTTCACATTACGCATTTGGAGGAGCAAGGGATCAATGGATGTTTTCACCTACGTATCACTTTCCTTCCATTAGGAGACAGACCCTCTACATTTTTTTCTGTGTCAAGGTAGCATACGTCCTTCTCAGTTTGGAGGCTGTGCACTATATTTCAGAGACTCTTGTGTCTTTGACATAGCTATAGAGTTTTATTTCTTATAGTTTTGTTTCTTCTTGACTCTCCACCCCTTGCTTCCTTTGCCATGAAGGCCACATAACACATGCCGATGCTCCCGGGAAACTGCAGGAATCCTGAGTGAATGCAAAGAAGTCCTCTGGGCTTGCAGAAGAATTTTGTGAGCAAGAACTAAAGTTGTGCTGTTTATTCCACAATATAACCGGTCTTATTCTACTATGGCAGATGGTGTGGACATTGTATACTTTATTTGCACCCACATTTTATCGGAGAGAACATAGTCACATGGATAATCCTGGTTCAAAAGCTACCTGAGCTGTTGATACTCCATTACTATGAAAACAGAAGGGGGTAGATAGTGGATGGGGGGTCATCAACCTCACTCCCTTGCCTCACATTCCAGCATTGCACTCACTTAAAATGCCCTCCTCCCACTTCTCAGTCTGTGCACACCCCACACATCCTCCGGGACACAGCTTTCTGCAAACTCCTCAACATTTTGATTTCTCTTTCGTCTAAATTCTGACTGCTTAATGTTTATAATCTTTTATTGAGTAACTTGTTAATTTAAAAATTTATGAACTACTTACCTCCAGGCATTGTGCTAGACAGTGGGTATATAATAGTGGGTATATAATCTTCAACATCCAGAGCACAGGACTCTACCCAAGTTACATGGTTAAAGATCCTTGGTTGAGTATATAAATAAGTCAGTAACGTGATGACATGTTAAGTGGCAGAACACTCTTGGAAGATAAGGGAAGGGAGAACATCCTGAAGTAGATAGTAAGATGCATGAGGACAAGGATCACATCTGTCTTAGATTCTGTCTTATCTCCAGTGACAGTCCCTGAGTCTGGCACAAAACAGGTACTTAATATGGTTCTGTTGTTTTCATGGAGAACTGTGAGGCAAATGGCCTGAGAGGGGCATGTTGGGGAATCTTGGAACATAGGATGGACTAGTACGTAGGATGGGACCAGATTTTGAGAAGTTAGTTATGGATTTTTTTTAATGTGCTAGAAAATTAGAAGCATAAGCTATTTTTCTAAAAAGGGGGGACTGTAGAAAGATTAAACTGGTTTGCTAAGTAGAAGTAAGGGAAAACTATGATGATGAAAACCTAAGTTGCGATGGCAAAGGTGGATCTCAATAAAAATAGGCAAATCTAATGGACATTTCAAAGGGAAGTTCAATAAGAACTGTTCTAATGTTTTCCAGCATATGTTAAAGTAAATGGGACCAATCCTTAATCTACTTGTCAAGTGGGCCCTGCCCTCTTATGTACTCTTTCCCTGTCAGTGAAGCCCCTGGACCATCGGTACATATCAATGTACAATAAGAGAGAGGGAGAAGCCAGATCAGAGGAAGGGTAGGGTAGAGGATGGCTGGAGGGATGAGGGTAGTAGAAGGAATGCATTCCAGAAAGAATGGCCTGACTGGGAAACCGTGAGGTCCAGAGTGGAGGCACACAGGCAGTGGGCTATAGCAGTGGAAATGTGTGTGTCTCTCTGTGTGTGTACATGTGTGTATGTATTCAGAAAATATCAGCAAATGTGTCTCCATCCACCAACACTGCCCTTCAGCTATGTTTCAAACCACCTACTTGTTCCTCCATTTATCCAATAAGGACTTAGTACCATTTACATGCCAAACACTGGGGACATAAAAAAGAACCAGGCAGACGTGGTCTCTATGTTCAGAGGACCTATATATAAAGGTAATATAAATGATAAAAACATACAAATTAATTAATTCACTAAAATTGTGTTAAGTGGGAGGGAGAGAACTCTGTACTCTTATTCTATCAATCTTACCTCCTTAAAGTAAGAGAGTTTAGGTAAAAAGCTGCGGAAGCAAGAGGTATTTTGGGTAAGCTAATGCTTTGAGGATAGCTCATCTGAGAAGATGCTAGCCTGGCGAGGAAGGCCTGAGCCTGCAGACTTGGAGCGATTCTACCTCACTCGCTCCCACATGCTGGCACCTAGTCCAAGGGTGAACTCAGTGAGAGCAAAATCTTTGGAGGCCTGGAAATCTCTCTCCAGCATTCTCCTCAATTGCTTCCAATTTCAGTCTGTAGGTCTGTCTTTGGGTTCAAGATACAAGAGACATAAGGGTAGCAAAACGATAATACAAGTGGGCTATCAAGAAAAGAAGGGGAAATAGTAGAGGTTTTGGGTGAAAGGACTATAGCTGTGTAACTTATTTTTTATTTACATTTCATTTTCTCCCTCTTTTTCTACCCAATGGATCCCAAATTTGTTACACAGCAGAGTCTGGACTGTGTTCCTGGCTGGAACCTCCAGCAGTCCTAGTTCCACAGACTCCTGAGTAGAGAAGCCAGTGTGCCCAAAACCCCTGTTCTACTTGAGCTATAACTGAGGAACTGGGGGCTGTCCTGTTGAATGGGTCCTTCTACTAGGCAATTTTATTCCCAGGGGCAGAGCCCATCACCGTGTGTCCTTTAGCGTAGGGCACACTGCCTGCCTTGGATTTGCCCCCAACTTTCCTCCCCCAAACAATGGCAGCTCAGTGAATCGAGCTACGACTCGAGCTGTCAGGACATCTGACTCTTGTCTTTAGAGAGGACGACTTCGAGTAGGGCAGGTGGAGAGGGTGGGTGTTGGTGGGATTTGGGGAGAAACAGATTCTATGTGGATATCTTATGTATGGATGTGTGTGTGTGTGTGTGTGTGTGTGTGTAAGAAAAAGTCTTGGGAAGGAAGAATGTCTCAGTTCTAAGCATGTGGGAGGGCACCCATGGGTACAAAGAACGTTAGACTTTCAGGAATACAGGCCAAAGAACTTTGTTCCATACTTGTCTTACTGTATACATATTACGAAGTGAAAACTTATAAGGTATACATGCGTACTATGCTATTAAATTATTTTTAAGGATTTAACACTGTAGAACTTGATTATTCAGCATAAAAATGAATATTAATTTAAATAAGTTTATTATCATTTCTGCCTAATTATAATTTATTTACAAAACATTGATATCTTGCAATATAAAGGCAATCTGTATTTTACAAAATGACTAAGGTATAATTCCTTACTTTAACAGCATACATTGTAGTAGAAGAGATGAAAAAAAATATATACACCAGTAGCTATAATAAGAGAGCTTTAAATAAAATAATGAAAGATTTCAAAGAATTGTTTTGTTTCAGGTTACTGGAGATAATATCTTGGCGGAGGCAGCATTTAAACTGGAATTTGTGGTATGGACACATATTGGCATGCCAGGTGTTAATGGATGACATTCCAGGTAGAAAGATTACATGTTTAAATTATGGCGCTAGAATAAAGCAATGCTGAGTTCAATTTGGCAAAAGCACAGGGTACAATATGAGAGGAATGTGTACTAACCTGATAAGGACTTTGAGGGCCCTGAGCAAGGATCCCTAGTGTGGACCTTATATAATGAGCAACCTTGGGATCCTTTTGAGTAGCGAAGTTGGATGATGGAGTGGCACTAAGAATGGTGAATCTGTTTCCAGGCTGAGGTAGCTCACCAGGAAGAGATGAAGAGTCAACGGGGAAGGCAGAGTAATGAGATTTCTGCTTGTGGTAGTGGTTCAGGATGGGGCAGACTTAATGGATATATAGCTCAAAAGGAAGACCAGTGCAGACAGGGAAATTGAAGGTAAAAGTTGACAGTCTCAAATTATGGAGGGGAATGTTAAGACTCTAAAGGAAAGGGTTAGGCATTCCACCTTTGCCTACCCTGAGACCTGAAATAAGGAGAAAAAAAATGTAAAAGTGTTCTGGAGGGGTGGGGTGTAGATTAAAATGTTAACATCTGAGGGTGAGGATTTCCTAGCATTGGTTTATATCTCTTGAGTCATCTGCCAAATAGAGGAGACACATGAATAAGAAGTTTTAATTCATACTTGGCTTTATAGTGAAATGTGACTCAGGATTACAAAAGTAGAAATATTAAGTCATATAAAACTGCTTAACTTATTACCTTTTCAAGGAGGGGGACCTCTTGTTAAAATGAAAAACCTGGCTCATCTATTATGATAATAGTCTCAATTATTTTGCAGGTTCCAGCCTGGGAAGAACTGTTATGGATGCCAAAAATGTCTACCCATTTATCCCTCACCAGTTTCACAGGGACTTTGTAAGAACAAATAAAACAAGACAGTATAGGTCGCTTCGGCCCTCCCCTTCTCTCCTTCGCGGCTCTGCCACGCTCGCTGGGCCAATCGTGGCGGCTCGAACGTGTCCAGGTTGGCGGCCTGGATGTGCCCAGCGGCGGGCGCGGGGGAGGCGCGGGGCGGCGCGCAGGGCCTGCGCCCCCGACGGTGGGAGCCGCGGGAGCAGCGGAGCGGGACAGCAGGCGCGGAGGTTCCAAGGTGCCCTCCAGACGCGGCCCGGATGACCGAACTACAGCAAGATGTGGAAGACACAAAGCCTGCCAAAGTGCTCGGGAAGAGAGAGGGCAAAGTGGGCTCGGCCCACTCAGAGGCTGAGAATGGTGTGGAGGAGAAAAAGAAGGTCTGCAGGTCCCCAACAGCCCAGTCTCCCACCCGGTCCAGCGAGGCCGAGTCCCCAGACCAGAAGAACGTCATCTGCCTGCGGTCAAAATCCAGTTGTGATGGTGCCTCTGTAGCAAGCGATAAGAACGACTGTAAATCAGAAAGCAAAAATGACGCTAAGACTGAAAGGAAAAGGAAAAAGTCTTCGTCTTCCAGCCAGTGCCAGGCGAACATGCACTTTCACAAGCTGTTTCTTGATGTCCCAACTGAAGAACCGTTGCGGCAAAGTTTTACCTGTGCTCTACAGAAAGAACTTTTGTACCAAGGGAAGCTGTTTGTATCAGAAAACTGGATTTGTTTTCATTCCAAGGTCTTTGGAAAAGACACCAGGATCTCTATTCCAGCCTTCTCTGTAACCCTAATAAAGAAAACCAAAACTGCCCTGCTGGTGCCAAATGCCCTGATTATAGCGACAGTCACAGACAGGTACATATTTCTCTCCTTCCTCTCCAGAGACTCAACTTATAAACTACTAAAATCTGTTTGTGGACACTTAGAAAATACAAGCGTCGGTAACAGTCCCAATCCGTCTTCTCTTGAAAACAGTTTCCGGGCAGACTGCCCTTCATCTCTGCCTCTGGATTTCAACGATGAATTCTCAGATCTGGATGGAGTGGTTCAGCAAAGACGGCAAGACATGGAAGGGTACAGCAGTTCTGGTTCTCAGACTCCCGAATCCAAGAACTCGCGAGATTCCCATGTGACAGCATCCCAGACAGTTCTAAAAGTCTCCAAGGGAGAAGCAAAATCAACAAGGGCAGATGCCCATGTGCACAGAGCACCTGAAGGAAAAGCCAAGAGTCTCCCTGCACAGGCCGTTGGTCAATCAGAATCCATTGGAATCTTACACAAAGTCAAGTCCCAGAAATGTCCAAATCTTGGCCATATTCTTATCTTCTACGCCATTGTTGTCTGCGCATTAATCATCTCGACCTTCTACATGAGATATAGAATTAATACTCTGGAGGAGCAGCTGGGGTTACTGACCTCCGTTATGGATACCCTTCATACTGAGCAAGCAGCACCATCTGGCCTGGGGTCACAAGTACAATTAAACGTGGAGGTCCTCTGCCGGGAGCTTACAGCTAACATAAGGAAACTAGAAAAGGTATCTCCCTATAAGGCAACTTTAGGCCAGACCTGTCCTCAGCGCTTGTGGCATTCTTAGAACTCAGTAGGAGAGTGAACAGGAGAAAAAGATACAGAACAACTTACAAAAGTTGCTTGAGAATGGTGTCTGACCGACCGGATCGCTCAGGCCAACATGATACCTCGTGCTTCCCTTTGAAGAAGGTGCTCCTGGAGGCGCCCCGTGGAGCGCTCCCTGCTGGCCAGAGGAGCGAGCAGAGAGGCACCCAGCCCTGTTTGCCTTGGAGGTCTCCGGCTCAGGACAGGGGGGAGGGGGAATAATTTTGGTTCCTATGCAATACAAGTTGACCTTGACTCTCTGAGGAAGTTTTCAGTGCTGCTGCCTGAAGGAAACAGACCCGTCTTGGGAGGTCTTGGAAGGACCTGGTGGGCACTTTGAAATGACTGTGGTCCAGTGGCCACCTGTGTCAGCAAACACACTCCACGACGCGCCTTTTCAGCCCTTCCCGCCCTCCTTTACACCCCGCCTTCACACCAAGGGATATATCATGTGCCAACAACCTGACGTGGTCCTTTAAAGAATTAGCCGTAACTCTCCAAAAGGCAATAAAGAGCTCTAACGGACAGACTTGCTTCAAAGAAATAACACCAGCATTGTGTCCTTTTTGTTTCTTCCTTCTCCTGCTACGTTCTGGTTTAAATCATCTGTGTATCTTAACTTCCTGATTGAATGTTGGCAAGAATATTGAGCAGGGCAGATAAACCATTTATGTTTTGTTCCTCTAACTAATACTTAATTGGACTGATTCTCACCCACCCCAAGTCAAGAATCCGTGAGGCATGGGACTGAAGTACTAAATAAACTTACTCTGAAACCAAAACTAATCTTTACACCAAAAAGGGTAATGTGATTTGATACAGGATAAAAAGCACCAAATTTTTAAGATTCTAGGTGGACTATGTTACTTTTGAAAAAGGACGTCATATTGACTGTTGAAACTCATTTCTGCAAGACGATAGCATGCTTTTTTCCTTTTGCTGACTAAATAAAGAAATAACTGGTGGTTTGCTAACTTCCTTTTACCATATGGTTACCTGGTTTTAATAATTATTTAGGTACCGAAAGATCTGTAATATAAAGGATACTCTGTTTCTGTCTGTAATGCATATTATAATCATTTCTATGAAATGTATTTTATTTAATCAGGTAAGCTAATAAGTGAATTGGTTACATCATTTGTTTCTGTTAGCCTACTGGACAAGAATTGTGCCTGGTGCACCGTGGCTTTTAATAAATACTCATTGGTTAAAACAAACAAACAAAAAAAAACAAGACAGTATATGTAAAAAATTTTGTCTACAAAATGTTGCTAGGTGGATATTTTTTATAGGTCTATAAAAATATACTATCTGGATATTACAGCCTATGAGAATATTTTGGAATTATTTTGTTTTATTCTTTTAAATTATATTTAACTTTCATACAAAAATGTAAAGCAGTTTTTTTATGGTTTTATCATTTTTAAGAGCTTTCTATATATGTTGATGAAGGGAGTAGTGGGAATGACAATACTTTAAAGCAAGCACACTGCAGTGGTAATGATGGTGTCTACCAAGCACTCTTAATACTATTGATATACCCACAATCAAAGCACTGGACAGGCAAGCCATCTGGGGCCTGTCCAGGCAATGAACTACAATTAGTGCCTTCTGAGACATTGTAATTCCTTATTACTTATTACTTATTAAACTGGTCATTTAAAGAACATGTTCCTACTCAAGACTTTGAGAAAGAGCCTTTATGGCCATGTTAAGAAGTATCCATCCATTCAATACCCACTGGCTGATATTATATGCTCCTAATTTTTCCATTTGAAAGAGGGAGAAATGTGGAAATTGGAGAGGGATAAGTTTTTCAAATAATAAATATTACTACCAAGTGCCATCACATCCTCATATCACATAACAAGTTAGCATACTTGGCGAAAGAACAAAATATGTTTAGCCTAGGGGCATTGTTTTCTATCCTTGGACCTATTTAAATGCTTTGTTTTCAGAGTTATGGACCAATAGACTTGTTCTCTGGTTCTCAGGACTCTTGAATTGTGTTCATTAGTTTACAATGACTTTAATAAGACTTCCTAAAACCCTGAATGTGTGTGTTCTGAGTGGTTTTTAACTATCATGATAAGGACATTTCATAGCCTCCCCCTCAGTCTGCTACTAGGGCATCTGGTGTGTGCTGACTCTACTCCAGGTCACTGTAATAAGTTTCTATATTCATTTTCATATAACAATTATGCGAGGCAGTTAACATTACCTCTATTCTATAGACAAAGCTAAAAGCATGTATAATTTTTCTAAGATAATAGCTAGTAAAAAGAATGTACAAATAGAAATTTCTTTATTTCCCAGTAACAGAAATCAGCTCTTGAGCCCCATTTCTACTCATAACAAAAAACTTATACTTGCCACATCAAGGTAGATTCAGTTCTTTCTGATTTTTTTAGTGTTTCCTGGTTAACTGGTCACATTAGGATTTTCTTCCTCTCACTTCCTCACTTATCCATAGGGATGATCTAAGTTCTAAGAAGTTGATATATTTCCCTGGCATTGGGGCTAGATGCCCAGTCCCATGGTTCATGGTCACTAGGTCTGTCCAACCTGGTTTACAGTGGCACATACAATCTCCAGTACTTTTTTATTTTATTTTTTATTTAGAGAGAGGGAGCAGGAGATAGAAACATCGATGAGAGAACTTGACTGGCTGCCTCCTCCATGCTCCCCACTGGGGATCGAGTCCACAACCTGGGCATATGCCCTGACTGGGAATCGAACCAGTGACCTCTTGGTGCATGGGTCGAAGCTCAACCACTGGGCCACACCGGCTGGGCTCCAATACATTTTGACTGTCTACTTTTGTGGCTATAAGGTACAAGTTCCCCTTTGATTTTTGTTGTGTTGCATCCATTTGAGTTATTAGGTGTTATGATAACTCCAATCCTAAGGTTTCACAAGATCCACATCAGGCAAAAGAAATCGTAGCTTTTCTCTCACACTATTCTGCAATGCTTTCCTTAGGTCCTTTCACCTAGATACCTCTCTTAAATATTGCTACTTTACATTATCAATGTCATGTGTGACCGTGGTTCTCTAAGAGGTGTTCAGTTTCCCTGGGCCATGCCCTGAGAAGTAATGTGCCGATTTCCTTTATAATCATTATTCCCCAATCTATCCAGCTTCTATCACCATTTCACCCATGCCACCGGGGGTTCATAACGAGTGAGAATGTGAGAAAGTGTAGGTGCCCACTCAGGGACATTCTCCTATGTTTATCTCTATTGCTTTTCTACACAGTTGTTTCTCTCTCTCTTGCTGGTGGAATTCTATCTTATTTTAGAAATTATTATATTTTCTAGATCTATCCTCTGAAAAGGCCTAGAAACAATGACCAGTTCTATAGTGGTGAGATCCTTAGAACTCAGACTGCAGTCTTGAAGTTTCATCTTGACAGTGTATAACTGTATATAAAATCACCACAGATAATTATGATGGGGAGGCAGGTATAGGAACCATAGGCAGGGTGAGTTGTCACTAAGGCAAGCCTATGATAGCAAACTGACATAATCTGAGGAGGTCTATCAGATTATCAACACTGCTCCCACCCCTCCCTATTAACCAATTCTCATTTCCCACTCCCTGGCCCCGAAGAAGCCTTGAAAACCAGAATTGATGCCCTGGCTGGTTTGGCTCAGTGGTTGGAGCGTCAGCCTGCGGTACAGAGAGACCCGGGTTCGGTTTCCGCGGGGGGCGCGTGCCTCGGTTGCAGTTTGTCCCGGTCCTGGTTGGTCGTGTGGGTGGCAGCCAATCGATGTGTCCCTTTCGCATCGATGTTTCTCTCTCTCTCTCTTCCTCTCTCTCCCTCCCACCCTATCTGAACAAAAAATGGAAGGGTGTCCTCAGGTGAGGATAAAAAAAAAAAAAAAGAAAAGAAAAGAAAACCAGAATTGAAAGCAGGGTAGCTATGAACAAAACAACCAACTTAGTGGCCACTGAGAGAAGCAAACCAGGTTTTATACTTTCAAAGACCCCTCCTCCACAGAAAATCATTACTGTTTACCTGTCTATAATTGTGTCCTTCAAAACATATTTTTAAGTCTAACTTCCAGTACCTATGCGTGGTGACCTTATTTGGAAACAGTATCTTTACAAATTTATTTTAATTTAATTAAAAAGAAGTCATATGAATTAGGGTAAATCTTTTTTTTCTTTATTGATTTTAGAGAGAGAGAAAGGGAGAGGGAGAGAGAGAGAGAGAAACATCGATGAGAGAGAACATTGATTGGCCGCCTCCTGCATGCCCCGCACTGGGGATTGGGCCCACAACCTGGGCATGTGCCCTGATCAGGAATTGAACTGGAGACCTCTTGGTGCATGGGTCGATGCTCAACCATTGAGCCACACCTGTCAGGCAAATTAGGGTAAATTTTAAACCCTGTGAGTGAATGGTGTCCTTATAAGAAGAGAGAAATTTGGACATAGAGACAAATAAGAGACACAGAGGTATGAAGGCCATGAGACAATAGAGGTAGAGAATGGAGTGATGCAGCTGCAAGTCAAAAAACACCAAAAATTGTGTCAACCACCAGATGCTAGGAAGAAGCAATGAGTGATTCTTTCCTAGAGACTTCAGAGGTGTCAAGTTCCTGGCAACACTTTGATTTCAGACTTCTGGCCTCCACAACTATGAGAGAATAAATGTTTCTTATTTTAAGCCACCCAGTTTGTAGCAATAGGTTACAGTAGCCATAGGAATCTAATACTGATGGTGATGCCAGTGTGGCAGACCAGAGACTGAACAAAAACTGAAAAAGAAGATTTGGGGAAAGAGCTGTCCATAGAGGTCTTTGCAAAGACCCAAAATATTCTTGGGAATCTATGAAGATTAATGCATATATAATGTAAGGCTGTGCACTTACCCAGAAAAGATTTAAAAAGACCCTAATTTCTCCAACTATGAAGGATGCTGAGGCCCTGCCAAAGCAAGAAGTGAAGGCCTGAAAAAGAATTTTCAACTATCTGATCATTGAAGTCCTGCTGCAACACGCACGCGCACACACACACACACACACACACACACACATATACATAC